TAGAATAGAATAGAATAGAATTCTTTATTGGACAAGTGTGATTGGACGCACAAGGAATTTGTCTTGGTGCAAATGCTCTCAGTGTACATAAAAGAAAAGATACATTCGTCAAGAGTCAAGAATCATAAGAATAGAACAGAACAGAACAGAACAGAATAGAATAGGAGTTCTTTCTAATGGCCAAGTGTTGTTGGACACACAAGGAATTTGTCCTAGTGCAAATGCTCTCAGTGTGCATAAAAGAAAAGATGCATTCATCAAGAATCATAAGAATAGCATAGCATAGCATAGCATAGCATAGCATAGCATAGCATAGAATAGGAGTTCTTTTTATTGGCCAAGTGTTGTTGGACACACAAGGAATTTGTCTTGGTGCAAATGCTCTCAGTGTGCATAAAAGAAAAGATACATTCATCAAGAATCATAAGGTACAACGCTTAATGATAGTCATAGGGTCGAATAAGCATATTGAAATATATATTAAATTGACCCACAACAGTAGACTCCTGCATCCCGTCACTGCCTTTTCTCTCCCAAGGAGTCCCCGAGAACCTCACCTGCAGGTAGATGCAACTTTCCCCAGTTACAACTGTTGTATACTCCCCAGGCACACTGGGCAGGGCCTGGCACTGAAGCAGAAGCCTGTTGGAGTTGTCCACATGGAATTCCCTCACGTTGTTCCCACCTGACTTCAAGTTCACTGTGCTGCCGGCTGCGTTCTTGGCAAAAGTGAAACCCGCATACAAGGCCAGGCCCTGGAGGGCCACCACGGTGTCCTGTGAGGAGAAGGTGAGATGGAGGTGAGCAGAGGTGGGTATTCAGCAGGTTCTGACCAGGTCTGGAGAACTGGTAGCGGACATTTTGAGTAGTTTGGAGAACCAGTGGTAACCTCCTCCCAGGAGTGGGGTGAGAATGGAGATTTTGCAGTATCCTTCCCCTGCCACGCCCAACAAGCCACGCTCACCAAGCCATACCCACAGAACCAGCAGTAAAAAAAAAAAAAATTGAATCCCACCACTGGATGTGAGGGTGATTTCTTCCCCTAAGAACACAAATGTTTTCAATGTTTTCTTCACATCAAGAGTTCATGAGAGGATGAGAAAAGAGTAACTGAGCTGGAAGGGACTTCGGAGGTCGTCTAGTCCAGTGGTCATCCACCAGTGGGCCGGGGACCACTGATGGTCTGTGAAAAAATTTTTGGTGGTCCACAGAGACATGTCACCCCCAAAGCATCCATCCCACAAGCAATTAATCCAGGCTGCGTGGGAACCTAAGGTTGCACCGCCCACATGGCCCATGGGAACACAACGCTTGCCTCACCTGCACTGTGAACAACATAAGGTAGTGAGGGGAGGGTGAGGGAAGAGCAGAGGGAGGGAACTTGCCCCACGCGCCAGGCCTGGCCACCGAGCTGCTTCTTTCTTCTGCTTTTGGCTGCACGCAAGGAAAGCAGCAAAAGTCTTTCTCTCTCACAAATTCTGCCAGAAATGAGTCTTTGGGACCCTGCAAGGCATCCTGCTCCAAGAGGCTGCGCCGGCGTGACAAGTCTCACAAAGACTCATTTCTGCCGGAGTTTGGGGGAGAGAAAGAAAGACTTCTGCTGCTTCTGCTGCTTTCCTTGCATGAAGCCAAAAGTCTCTCTTTCTCTCCCCCTCCCCCTGAGAACGGAGCTGGAGACGGTATCCTGCAATCCCAAATAAAGAATGATCGATCGATAGGAAAACAGACTGGGGAATTTTCCTGCAGACTTTTTGGGGGATTTTCCCATATTTAAAATCATGAGTTTGATGGTCCCTGAGGTCCAAAAGGTTGGTGACCCCTGTTCTAGTCCAACCCCCCTACTCAAAAAGGAGACCTTATACCATTTCGCACAAATAGCTGTCCAGTCTCTTTTGACTGTAACCGGTCTTCCTATGTTTTAGTCTCCAGTCCCCTCATCATCCTGGTTGCTCTTCTCTGTACTTTTTCTAGAACCTCAACATCTTTTTTATAATGTGGTGAGAAAAACTGGATGCAGTACTCTAGGTGTGGTCTTACTTAAGCATCAAAGAACTATTGTCTGTATTAACCACCTTATTACTTTGAGTTGCGCATGAAAGAAATTCAGAAGTCCATATTGAACACAAAAGATCAATGGGAATAGAGCTGGAAGGGTCCTTGGAGGTCTTCTAGTCCAACCCTCGGCTCAAGCGGGAGACAAAATGGCTGTCCAGGCTCTTCTTAAAAAAAACTCCAATGATAAAGCCCCTACAATTTCCGGAGGCAAATCGTTCCACTGGTTAATTGTTTCGCTGTTAGGAATTCAGACAAGTGGCTGCCTGAAAAACCTCTTCTTAAAAAAAAATAAAAATCCTCCAGCGATCAGGCACCCCCAATTTCTGAAGGCAAGCAGGTTGACACACCTCTTCCTTGTGTGTTCCAATACCCTTCAAATATTGGAACCCGACTATGGGAGGACTGGTGCAGGTTTTGATGCTAGATTAAACTTTCTAAGGGGCAACTGGGCCGCTAGGGGTTCGCAGCAGTTCGGGAGAGCCCCCTAACTAAGATCCTGTGCAGGTCAGAGAAACCCGCCCAAAAAAACATCCCACTCCTGGCTGGCCCCACCCTGCTCACCCCACCTGTCATAGGAGTCCCCACACAGCCAGTTTTGGCTACAGGTAAAGTGCAGGGCGTGCACGGAGTCTCGGGGAGGCTCAGGGTGGGGTGGGGGGCCAGCCAGGAGTCAGGCTTACATTTATGACGGATGCAGTGTCCTTTGGATCGCGCGATTCTCCTTAAGCGACCTCCCGACAAGACAAGTCCATGGGGGGCCAAATTCGCTTCGCAACTGGGGCGCGACTCATTTTAATCCACTGAACCCATGTGGCTAGAAAAGCCGTGAAAGGGGGCGCAAAACGCACTTCTCACTTAGCAACAGAAATTGTGAGCTCGGTTGCGGTCGTAGGGTCCAGGGCTCCCCTCTACTGGTGCGTTTTCCAACCCAGCACAAAAACCCGACCTCTCTTGACAGAAAATCTTTCTTTCTCCCAACCCAAAACAACACCTGGAGTACTCCATCCCAGTTTTGGTCACCACACTGTAAACAAGAGGTTGAGACCCTAGAAAAAGTGCAGAGAAGAGCAACCAGGATGATGAGGGGACTGGAGACTAAAACATATGAAGAACGGTTACAGGAACTGGGCATGGCTAGTCTAGGGAAGAGAAGGACCAGGGGAGACAGGATAGCGGTCTTCTAATATTTGAGGGGCTGCTACAGAGAGGAGGAAGGGGTCAAGCTATTTTCTAAAACACCTGAAGGCCAGACAAGGAATAATGGATGGAAACTGAACAAGGAGAGATTTAACCTGGAAATAAGGAGAAACTTTCTGACGGTGAGAACAATCAACCCATGGAACAAAAGTTGCCCTCGGAAATTGTGGGAGCGCCATCACTTGAGACTTTCAAGAAGAGATTGGACTGCCATCTGTCAGAAATAGTGTAGGTCTCCTATTTGGGCTGGTGGGGTTGGACTAGATGACCTACAAGGTCCCTTCCAACTCTGATTTTCTGTATTCTGTTATCAGCTCAACACCCTACCTCTCTGACAGAAAGTCTTCTTTTCTCCTAACCCAAAACGCTCCCAGCTTCCAACGTATCGAATGCACGGATGGGAAGGCACCAACCTGCGTGGAGGAGAATCCTCCGTAAGGATTCTGTTGTTTGATAAGCCAGGTCACAATCTTGGTGGCCTCCGCCAGATCATCCTGGGATGGTGCCGGAGCTCTGTTAGCGGAGGCTGCATCTGGTAGCGCGGGACGTCTGGTCAGGTAAGTCAGGAGTACGTAGGAGGCCGTTTCCACCTCGGCGGAAGGAGCACGAGGCGGGTAGTAGAAAGGCTGGCTTGCCTCTGGCTTCACGGGCCTCTCCCAGTGAATGGAGCCATCGTCTTCGGAGCGGGGCAAAAAAAGAAAGAAACATTAAATCTTTGGATTCTGATTCTCCATCCAAAGACAGTTACAGGAAGTCCTCGACTTGCAACAGTTCCCTTAGTGGCCGTCCGAAGTTGCAACAGCACTGAAAACAGCCGCGGAGGACTGTTTTCCATATTTACGACTGTTGCAGCATCCCAGGCCGTGAGAAATATCCCAGGCCTCTTAAATTATTTCTATGGTCTGTTTAGAGTTGTCAACAGAAAGGGAGGGGAAATAAAATTGAATTAAAAGAGTGAATAGAAGAGAGAAAATATATAGAAAATATAGAATGTTAAATAAGATATGAAATGGTATCTCTGTGAGCATGAATTTGATTTATGTCTGTACAAAAAGATGTAACCCGTAAGCTGCTTTCCAAAAAGAAGCTTTATGTATTTATTTTTTGTGTTATGTCTGTCTATGTTTGAATTAAAACCCTAAAAGAACATTGGAAGAGAATAATGAAATTGTAAATAAGGAATAAATATAATTCAAGGTAAAAGAAATATAATTGAATAGAAGGAAAGGGAGAAATAAAGAGAAGTTGGGAAAAGATATGAAGTTGAACAGATAAGATAAATATACATATTAAATTGTGTTTGTATGGAAATATGATAATTTGGAATTATTGTTTTTAAATAAGACGCCTTATTTGTTTTTCCAGAAAAGATCTCTTATGTTCTTATATTCTATGCTTTGTTTGTTTGTGTATTGATTTCAAAAATTAATAAAATTTGTTTAAAAAAAAAGAAAAAAAGGGAGGGGGAGCAGTGGGCAGCTTGCATTCCATAAATGTTTTCAAAGATAGTTTCTAGGTGACCGAAGTTTCTGCTGTGCAAAAATCTAACTGGAGAGCACGATTGATGACTCTGAGCTATGGATGTGTCCCATTGGAGAATATGAATTATGATACACCCAGAGGGTGGGGGGAAACCAGGGTCAAGGGTGACAATGAATTATGTGTCTCAGAGTCGGCTACACCCAGGCAGTGCCGGACATGTTTACTCCTAATAAATCATCTTTAAGTTTTGGAAGTTCGGCTCGAGACTCATGATTTAAATGGGGGGTAATTGCCGGAATCCTGACAGTGATCAAAATTCAGATGCTTTGCCAATGGACTCCTATTTATGATGGGTTGCCGTGCCCGCTTGGGGTGACGGGTTCCCCTTTTTGGCAACCTTCCGGTAAGCAAAGTCAACCGGGGAAACCGGATTCTGTCAACGACCGGGTTGCTCATTTAAGGCACTGATTCACTTAACAACTGCGGCAAAGAAAGTCGTGACATGGGACAAAACTCACATAGCCAATTTCTCTCTGAGCAACATCGATCTGGGGCTGAGTTGTGGTTGTAAAGTTTGAGGACTAGCTGCATAAAGACCTCTGTTACTGAAACAATGGGATGCATCAAGAGGTATAAAAATAACACAGGTGGTCCTCACATTACAACCCTTTGTTTAGTGAGCATTTGAAGTTACAACAGCCTCGAAATAAAGTGGCTGATGACCGTTTCCCACTCGTATGACCATTGTTGCAGCAGCATCCCCATGGTCACGTGATCAAAATTCGGGCACGTTCTATGTGGAAATGACATATATATTTAATATATATTTACCTGTTACACCTACGAAAGTAGAGAACCAAAGAGATTCCATTTTTGTTGGTAAAGTGACCTTCTAGAAAAATATCTGAACGCTTATATAAGCAGATCATGTTTTTATAACTTGTTATTCTGCAAAGTTAATAAATATTACGTCCTTGCCTGGAGTGGGAGTTTGTATTTGGCTTGAGATTTCAGGTAAGGAATACTAGGTTGTCCTGACATTAACGGAAGTTTGTTAATGACTTATTGTGTTTGGAAGAACATAACAGGAAGATGCCATGAGAACAAGGGTGGTTTCCAAAGAAAAGGAAACAGGTGGTACGCCATGGGTGTGGCGTAGGGAATTACCTAGTTGGATAGATTGTGAACCCAGGAAAGGAGCAGAGACTGTAAATTTGAACCTGTATATATATATTCCCCCAGCCTTCCTGGGAAAGACGTCTTCTGCTATGAGTAGAATTCCCTTTTGCTAAAGCTTCATAATAAAGCTCTTGTTTACTGTCTCCAGTTGTGTTTTGTGATTTTTCTCACAGGGCGCTGGGCACAGACTCCTATTTACGACGGTTGCGGTGTCCCCTGGGGCATGCGATTCTCTTTTGCGACCTTTCGACAAGCAAAATCAACGGGGGAAGCCAGATTCACTTAACAAACGTGTGACTAACTTAACAGCTGCAGCAATTCACTCAACAATGTATCGCCAGGGTGTGTGGAGGGTTATTATTTTATTATTTTTATTATTTCTTTTATATGATATTTTTATACTTCCGTAAGCCGCCTTGAGTCACCCTGTGAACGTAGGGCGGCAATATAAACGTTCTAAAACAAAATAGATAAAATAAGCTGTGTCAGGAAATGGTCACACAATGGGACGTGTTTCACTTGGTAACAGAAATGTGGGGCTCAGTTGCGGTCGTAAGTCAAGGACCACCTATAAAAAAACCCCAAAATTATCTGCCATTGCATAGATGGACGCAGCCTCAGGAGTGGGCTGCTGAGGGTTCCCAGGGGTTCAGGAGAGCCCCTAGCTAAGATCCTGTGCAGTTTGGAGAACCCCTAAATCTCACTCCTGGCCGGCCCCGCCCACTCCTCCCCTCCCCTTCCCGGAGTCCCCACGCGGCCTATTTTAGATGCAGGTAAGTGCAGGGCGCACGTGGAGGTTCGGGGAGGGTGAAAAACGGGCCTCTCGCAAGTTTAGGAAGGCCAGAAATGGGCCTGTTTCCGGCTTCCAGAGAGCCTCTGGAGCCCGCGGAGGCCGTTTTCGTCCTCCTGGAGGCCATTTTCGTCCTCCCGTTTTCGTCCTCCCTTCATGCTCGAAGAAAGCCTCCGGAGGCCCAGGGAGGGCACAAAGCCCCCTCCCCACCGTGGTGCAGGAGCAGAGGTAGTATTCAGCAGGTTCTGACTGGTTCTAGAGAACCGATAGTGGAAATGTTGAGTAGTTCGGAGAACCGGCAAATCCCACCTCTGACTGGCCCCGCCCCCATCTATTCTCGGCCTACCAAGTCCCAGCTGATTGGCTGAGTGTTCTTTGGTTGCTCTGCGCAGGAGAACGGAGCTGGAAAGCAGGTTAGGCGTGAGGCGTGAGGCGGGAATGGAGATTTTGCGGTATCCTTCCCCTGTCATGCCCAACAATCCACGCCCACAGAACTGGTAGTAAAAATGTTTTGAGTTCCACCCCTGTGCAGGAGGCCGACTAAGCCACGCCCGCCCTGGCCACACCCACCCAGCCACTGGGCTAAAATTTTGGAAGCCCATTCCTGGACAAACGTTCCTCTTGGACCACCTCTCGGGCTGGTGGTCCTCGCAGTAAAACCACTCACTTCTCCCACCGATGTTTCCCTCACCTCCTTTCACGGCCTTTTCCTGAAGGCTCTGCAGTATTGTTGCCACTTGGTCCTCTTTGTGTGCCAAAGAGAAAGCGTACCCCAACAAGGCCAGAGTGTAGACAGGCAGGTCTTTCTGCTGGGACACCGTCTCCAGGCAAAACAAAGCATTTCGCACGACAGAATGCTGCAGGGAGAAAGGACGACATTCGTCTAGAGCAGCACCAACTACCCCCACCCAAAAAAACACTTGCCCCCCCCCCGCCCAGGAGCCCATTCCGTGGAGAGAGTTTTTCCCATCGACCAAATGGGGGCGTGGTTTTGTGCGCCACCTGCACCTTGCGTGGGCGCGGATGGGGCTTCGCTCATGTGTGTGGCCCAGTTTCTGACGTGCCATGGCCCAGTTCTGGTCTGCCACCCGGGATTTGAGAACTCCTGGTCTAGAGCCGTGGTGGCGCAGTGGTTAGAATGCAGTATTGCAGGCTAATTTTACCGCCAGCGGTTCAGCAGTTCAATTCTCACCCGGCTCAAGGTTGACTCGGGCTTCCATCCTTCTGAGGTCCGTAAAATGAGGACCCAGATGGTTGTGGGGCAATAGGCTGGCTCTGTACACCCCTTAGAGAGGGCTGTAAAGCAGTGTGAAGCGGTATATCTGTATCTGTTGCTATCTCGGCTATTTGTGTGGGGTTGGTGAGATTTGGACTGCTGTGAGCCCTGGCGGCACACAAATGTTAGACTCAGTTGTGGTTGTAAGTCAAGGACTACCTGTATAAGTAGGCTTTGTGTAACATAGCGTGGTAGATAAATTCTGTGGTAATTGTGTCAATGACCATTCATGTTTTAGGCAAAGATGGGAAAAAAACAAATGGAATGTGGTTTAAAAAAATGGCGATCGTGGAACTGACACTTGGATCCAGTCAAGGAAACTCAACTGAGAGCATCTTGACTTTTATTATGCTCAGAGGCCAATCAGCTTTCAGGGGAAGCTTTCTTGAGCGATCAGTGGCTAAATTGGAGTCTGTGGAAGGTGAAAGACGGCTTCTTACCGTGACAGGCAAGGGAATCTCCAGCAAACTGATGGTGATGTAGGCTGACAAAGTGATCTCACTGTCAACTCCGCCCTGTAAGGAAGAAAATGGGATGCAGCCATAACCATCACAGAATCCCAGAAGGGGAGCTCCCATGTCCCCAGATAGCTTTTCCAACCTCCCGATACGTGGACTTTCCAATCCCAGAATTCTCCCTGATGTGGGAATTCTGGGATCTGTAGTCAGCCTATTCCTAGGCAGGAAACCCTACACCACTTCAGACCAATGGTTATCCAACATCTTTTTAAAAACTTCCAGCGTTTAAAAAGGTGTTGGGTAACCATTGGTCTGAAGTGGTGTAGGGTTTCCTGCCTAGGCAGGGGAGTGGACTAGAAGACCTCCAAGGTCCCTTCCAACTCTGTTATTCTATTCTATTCTATTCTATTCTATTCTATTCTATTCTATTCTATTCAAATTCTATTCTATTCTAATTCTTATTTTCTATTCCTATTCTATTCTATTCTTTTCTATTCTATTTCCATTCTATTTTATTCTTAGTCGATTATATTCTATTATTCCATTCTATTCTTGTTCTTATTTTCTATTCTTATTCTGTTCTATTCTATTCTATTCTATTCTATTCTATTCTATTCTATTCTATTCTATTCTATTCTACTGTAATTCTTATTTTCTATTCCTATTCTATTCTATTCTTTTATATTCTATTTCCATTCTATTTTATTCTTAGTCTATTATATTGTATTATTCCATTCTATTCTTGTTCTTATTTTCTATTCCTGTTCTGTTCTGTTCTGTTCTGTTCTGTTCTGTTCTATTCTTATTCTTATTTTCTATTCCTATTCTGTTCTATTCCTATTCTATTCTATTTTATTCTTATTCTATTCTATTATTCTATTCTATTTCTATTCTATTCATATTTCTATTCTATTCTTATTTTCTATTCCTATCCTATCCTATCCTATTCTATTTCAGAGGTGCCTCAGGTTGGTGAAGGTGAGATCACCACTTGGTGTTCCCCTCAGGACCATATAATGCACAAAACTGGGAGAAGTGTCACTCAGGTTACCTATGGAGATTCTCAAATCATTCAGGGTTCTGGTTGTCCCACAGGTGCTTTTTCCAAAAAGCAACTGAAATAATA